ACTGTCTGGGTGGGTGCATGATTGACTAACTGGCTGACTGGCTGGATGGCTGGCTGGCGGGCTGGCTGGCTGACGGGCTGGCTGGGTGACTAGCTGGCTGGCTGGCTGATTGGCTGATTGACTGGCTGATTGGCTGACTGACTGGCTGGGTTGCTGACTGGCTGACTGACTAGTTGGCTGACTGGCTTATTGGCTGACTGACTGGCTGGGTTGCTGACTGACTGGCTAACTGCCTGGCTGACTGGCTGGCTGGCTGACTATCTGGCTGACTGGCTGATTGGCTGACTGACAGGCTGACTGACAGGCTGACTGGCTGACTGACCGACTGGCTGACTAACTGACTGTCTGACTGGCTGACGGATTTGCTAGCTGGGTTGCAAAATTTTCGAACGTCTTATTGACTAACTTCTCGTCAAGCTATCAAGCTCAAACTTGGCATATAGACTCACTTTCAAAGAGAATAAATTCTAACAAATTTTCATCCCCAACCCCCAACGACCTAAAATCATTTTCTTCCTTTTTTTTCAAGAGGAAAATGAAATCAAATTCCTGACAACTTCGCTAAATGAGATTCTTGAAAAGATCCTCAACTGCGTTTGGTGGGAAATATATATAGTATATATATATATATATCTTTTTTCAAATGTTTGGGGAAAAAATCTGCGGTGTAAAAGTGGGTGTGTCATTAGAATATTAACATAGTTCACGGTAGTGGAAAACTTGTGCGGTTGCGAGACTTGGGGAGGGGGGGGGAAGGAGGGACACTGATTGAGATTCTTATAAAATGCCTTACTTGCAGGCATGTTTTGTCAAATGTTCAGCCCCACCCCCCACCCACATTGCTCGAAATTACATTTTATAAAGGATTTATCCGAAAACTTTATTTTGAAGGGTTGTTTATTAGTAGACATTATTCTGTTGAAATTTTCTGCAAAACGCTAAGTTATTGACTCAGAACTGCCCCCCACACACCCCCGGCCACCCCCCAACCCACACACACATACTTTCAGGGGCGTAGCGAGGGTGTTTGGCGCCCGGGGACAAGATTCGCGCCGGGGACAAGATCCATTTTAAAGCGCCCCTGTTTTCTTTTTTCAACTCTCAAACCCATTATTTTCATCAATAAAATAATATCAAAGCACATTTTGGCGCGCCTAACTACCGGGCGCCCGGGGACATCTGTCCCCCCCTGCACCCCGCTCGGTACGCCTCTGAATACTGTCACAAAAATTTTAATTTACTAATTTCAAGTTAAACAATTCGCAGTGATAAGGAAGCATAGTCAGCAATATTGAAACATTTGGTAGTGGTTCAGATATAGAGGAGGTTGGGGGAACTCCTGCATTAGAGTTTAAAAAAAAAACAACAACAAACATTGGCACACATAAATTACGCCTGTATCTTCCACGGGTAAAGTCACGTGGGTGCATCGACTTTGAAAGCAATTAAACAAAACCATAATTTATTTATTTTTAAATTTAAATTTATTTTAAAAAAAAAATTAAATAAGCCATTAAGATTCGAATAAAAAAACCAGGGCAACCAATCAAATATAAACATCAACATGGTAAACATGGCAACCAATCAAATATAAACATCAACATGGTAAACATGGCAACCAATCAAATATAAACATCAACATGGTAAACATGGCAACCAATCAAATATAAATACAAACATGGTAACTATATCAACCGATTAAATTTAATAAACACAAGCATGTTAACTATGGCAACCAACCAAATATAAATACAAACATGGTGTGGATAGAATGGCAAATTTTTTTTTTGTATGCGAGTTTGTGATACCCCAAACGATGACCATTGGATAGTGAGATAATTTCCTGGTTTGTGACCAACCAAACAGTGACAATTTGATAGTGAGATCTTTTCCTGGTTTGTGACACTCCAAACGGTGACCATTTTATAGTGAACCCATTTCCTGGTTTGTGACACACCAAACGGTGACCATTTGATAGTGAGATCATTTCCTGGTTTGTGACACTCCAAACAGTTACCATTGGATGGTGAAACCATTTCTTGGTTTGTGACACTCCAAACGGTGACCATTGGATGGTGAGATCATTTCCTGGTTTGTGACACTCCTAACAGTGACCATTGGATGGTGAAACCATTTCGTTGTTTGTGACACACCAAACAGTGACCATTTAATAGTGAGACCATTTCGTGGTTTGTGACACACCAAACAGTGACCATTTGATAGTGAAACCATTTCTTGATTTGTGACACACCAAACAGTGACCATTGGATATTGGGACAATCTCCTGGTTTGTGACATCCATAGCTATTTTAGCTTTGATGATGGCTCCCTTCGTCTTTTTGTCAAAGTAACATAAGACATACCCCCAATTTACCCCTAGTTTTCCCCTAATTTACCCATAATATATCCATAAAATACGAATAATTTACCCATAATTTACCCATAATTTACCCCTAACTTTCTTCGTCCTTATGAAACAAAATAAACCATACAAAAGACTTTTTTTTCTAGATTCCAAAAAATTGGTAAAGGCAAATGAGTCCTGGTGGCTGGTGATGAGTTAATTGGCCTTTGAAAAAGTATTCCTAAATATCAAACGCATGAATTGTAACATACATCAAATCTGTTCAATAACATACATCAAATCTGTTCAATAACATACATCAAATCTGTTCAATAACATACATTAAAATCTGTTCAATAGAATACATCAAATCTGTTCAATAACATACATCAAATCTGTTCTTTAACATACATCAAATCTGTTCAATAACATACATCAAATCTGTTCTGTAGCATACATCAAATTTATTCTGTAACATACATCAAATCTGTTCTGTACTATGCAACAAATTAGCTCTCTAGCTTACATGTAATCTGTTGTGTTGCGAATCCAACTTTTAGTACATAGCAATTGTTGTATTTTTTTGCATGAAGTATGTGAAGTGTTGAAAGCTTTCAAATAGCATAGTCAAAAATATCTTGTAGAAATTGTTATATATGCATAAGTCTCTCCAATACCATGCACCTAATGTGAGATACACTTCAACTCGTTAAAGGGACGCTATCCTAATTTTTTGTTTGGATTCATCTTTAGAGCTGTTATTCATTGTTGTGGCCCCTTACAGTATGAGAACTCTCTCATCTCTTTTTTTCAACATGAATTTTAGTTTGTAACATGTCTGACTTGATTTCAATGTTTTCAAATCTGTGAGAAATGGGCGGAGTTTACTTTTTTAATGTCTCTTTTACAATTGAGCTACGTTTTCCTTTCATCAAAGAATGTCCATGATCTATTCATACGTTTTTTCGATGTCTATATCTTAAAGCTTTTAAAACCCTTTGCTTGTTTTCTATTTAGATATCGCTCGCCATCTACTTCATGGTATCCATTTTAAGGCAACTTTTGCAACAATAAAACTTTTTTTTCTTTTTATCATTTTAATTACTATAAATTTATGTCTAATTTTATAGATTGTGTTTAGAAAAAAAAACGAAATTTTAGTTTTGCTTGTCTAAACTGTCTACTATCCATCTTTGAAAAGACGTTAAAGTCTGATTATATTAACATCTGACAGCATCAAATTCTTCTGACGTCAAATTCTGATAACATCGAAATCTGATGACGTCAAATTCTGATAACGTCCAAAGTTTTTATCTTGCCGTCGTGATCCTCTTCAATAATTTTAATATGTTTCTCCACACCTTGACCTTCCTTCAGTCCACCCAAAGACCTGTTCTCCGCACCTTGGCCCTCCTCCAGTCCACCCAAAGACCTGTTCTCCACACCTTGACCCTCCACCAGTCCACCAAAAGACCTGTTCTCCACACCTTCACCCTCCTCCAGTCCACCCAAAGACCTGTTCTCCACACCTTGACCCTCCACCAGTCCACCAAAAGACCTGTTCTCCACACCTTGACCCTCCTCCAGTCCACCCAAAGACCTGTTCTCCACACCTTGGCCCTCCTCCAGTCCACCCAAAGACCTGTTCTCCACACCTTGACCCTCCACCAGTCCACCAAAAGACCTGTTCTCCACACCTTCACCCTCCTCCAGTCCACCCAAAGACCTGTTCTCCACACCTTGACCCTCCTCCAGTCCACCCAAAGACCTGTTCTCCACACCTTGACCCTCCACCAGTCCACCAAAAGACCTGTTCTCCACACCTTGACCCCCCACCAGTCCACCCAAAGACCTGTTCTCCACACCTTGACCCTCCACCAGTCCACCAAAAGACCTGTTCTCCACACCTTGACCCCCCACCAGTCCACCAAAAGACCTGTTCTCCACACCTTGACCCTCCACCAGTCCACCAAAAGACCTGTTCTCCACACCTTGACCCTCCTCCAGTCCACCCAAAGACCTGTTCTCCACACCTTGACCCTCCACCAGTCCACCAAAAGACCTGTTCTCCACACCTTGACCCTCCACCAGTCCACCAAAAGACCTGTTCTCCACACCTTGACCCTCCTCCAGTCCACCCAAAGACCTGTTCTCCACACCTTGCACCTCGTCCACTCTCTCACGTGCTCTGTCTTTGCCACTCCGGCCCCTGTCATTTCTATCCAAAGACCTGTCGCTGGACCGGTCATGTCTGACTGACCTGACAGGTTCAACCCTGGCAAATAAGTTTAGTCTAAGTCTATCCTTCAGTGATTCGTTCAGCGACCGCATCCGGTTGTAAGACACCAGACGTCGTCTAGCAAGTCCTTCAGTCCATTCGATAAAATCATTGCTCGACTTTGTCAACTTTTCTCTCCTGCAACAAAATTTGAAAATATATATATTTTTTTTTAATGATTAGATGAAAATAAAATTATAAATACATATTTATTAGTTGTAGACTAGAAAACTACATTGAAGTTAACTGTTTATTTTTATTTATATTGTTTCCACTGTGGTTTGTTGGCTGAAGAAGGCTTCTTGCCGATATGTTCATTGTTTTGTGGCGCCCCCTTTTTTTTAAAGATTTGCCCATATTTTATTTGATTATGTTTTTGTTCAATAAGTCAAGCAAGGTCACAACTTATAAATTTTTGTAAAACAATTGTCACGGAAAGCATGTATAATATACTTTTGCCAAACTCGCATCAGTCAGGTATAAACATATTCGTTAGGTTTAGCAATATCAGTTAGGTACAACAATATCAGTTGGGTACAACAATATCAGTTGGGTATAACAATCTCAGTTGGGTATAACAATCTCAGTTGGGTATAACAATCTCAGTTGGGTATAACAATCTCAGTTGGGTATAACAATCTCAGTTGGGTATAACAATCTCAGTTGGGTATAAACAATCTGATGGACTCAATGTCCAGATGGTAACAAATCAATGAATCTATGACGTCATTATTTTACTGAGCGAATAAAACTATGATTTTTTATACTAGGAAGTGCAAATTGTAGTAGATCTCTGGTCTAGTCCTAGGTTAAATTGTATTTGATCCGTCGTCTAGTCATCTAGGTTAAATTGTAATTGATCTGTCATCCATCAATCTAGATTACATTGTAGTTGACATGTCGACCAGTCATCTACGTTTATTTGTAGTTGATATGTTGTCCAATCATATTGGTTAAATTTTTTAAAAAAATATTAGGATATGTTGTAAATCGATCCTCAAGTGCACCGATAGAGCCCATTGGGCAGACACGCTCCGGGTAAGTAGCAGTAGCAGACACAGCGTTAATAACTATAGACATACACCCGGTAACTGACGGTAGACAAAAAGACGGTAGGTCTACAGAGGGTGAATGACGACGGAGATACAATGGGTCAATGACTGTAAACCACAGAAGGGATCGATATCTAATCGCAAATAAATCTTCACTAATAGTGAACGAGAATACCACCACAGTTCATACATCAATCACCTGCTGTCCATCATTTGCTCCCATTTCAGTCGGTCATCTTGTGTCCAGGCCATGAACTGTTCGTCTTCATCAAGGTCATCTAGGTCCCCGTGTTCGTATATCTTCAGAGAAATGTTTTCATCTTCCAAAACGAATTGTCTTTTGAGAGCAGACATGGCTGATCCTTCAAAGTTTGAGTCACACTGTGTTCATGAATGCTGGTAACTTGTTCCGCTTCTTTGAGATATTGTACTTTTAAAAAAAAAATAGTTTATTATTAAAAATGAACTGATACTAAAACATATAATCACATACCCTAGTCGGAACAACACCATATAATCACATACCAGAGTCGGATCACAACCGTGTAATCACATACCAGAGTCGTATCACTAACATGTAATCACATACCAAGAGTCGTATCACTAACATGTAATCACATACCAGAGTCGTATCACTACCGTGTAATCACATACTAGAATCTGATTACCTTATTAAATGCCTTATGTACTTGAAAATTAAACTCCCCTGCTATCAGTTAAATCACCATCTAACAATATGTTTTGTCTAACAGATTCTTCACACAGCCACCACGATTAAACACAGACACTAACATCCAAGCAGATGAACACACGTTCAATCACTCTTTCACGTGTTTACTGTCCCACCGAAATTTAGCCCTTTTCGAAATGCAGTGCCCAGAGGCGGATCATGGCATAGGTATCCGGGTCCTAACTCTGCCCCCGTTCCACAGGGGCGTGTCCAGGCGCACAGGTGACTTTGACATGGCGGCACAATTGTTTTTTGAGTGTTACACCACGCACCGTTTCAATGACAGCATTACGCCCTCTAGCCCCGCCCATTACACAAACACACACAGACCGACAAACACAAACAGAAACACACGCACAGATACACACAGGCCCACACATACACCCACTTCCCACCCACAAAAGCTGTAGTTGTTATGATTGACCCACCCATGCCATAACGAATACAATTTTAAAAAAAAAAACATTTTACATTTCTTCTCGGCAGTATCCCACAACGTCAACACAATCATACAATCATCACAAGCACAGACGTACGCAATCTACCGAGAGACCGTGCGTCTCCCCCCACCCCCCCACCCCCATTCATGTCTGCCTGTTGTTTCAGGCGTCTGTGTACGCACTGAACAGGTTTGGGGTTGTCACGCATGAACAGATTGGGGTTGTCACGCTCCGATGCTCACCTAAAGCTCATGGGGAAACATTGAACCAGATCAATCGTTGTTAATCTATCAGCTTACGGGGGGAGGGGGGGGGGGCGGACACAAAAGCATTTTAATTAAATGAACTGTTTAAACGGACTGGCAGAGACGGAACTAGGACAAGGGCGGAGACGTTGTCAGGGCGTCAAGGGCGGAGAAGTTGTCAGGGCATCAAGGGCGGAGACGTTGTCAGGGCATCAAGGGCGGAGACGTTGTCAGGGCGTCAAGGGCGGAGACGTTGTCAGGGCATCAAGGGTGGAGACGTTGTAAGGGCATCAAGGGCGGAGACGTTGTCAGGGCATCAAGGGCGTGGACAAGGTTTCAAGTAGGGCGCACACATTACGTCTGGAAATAGAATAGGGAAGAAGATTGACTTCAGTAACAAAAACCATGTTCTCATAACAAAGAGTTTTCTAAAGTGATCGGCCAACCATGACTCGCGTGCAGCATGCGGCTGTGTAGCGACCAGATTGCGGCTCGGCCAGTCGGCCACAAATCGGTATTGACTCAGAAAAACATGACTCTTGATAGGTTATTGACAGGTTCTTGACAGGTTCTTGACAGGTTCTTGACAGGTTATTGACAGGTTCTTGACAAATTCTTGACAGGTTATTGACAGGTTATTGACAGGTTCTTGAGAGGAAATTTAGCTCTGCTCTCATAGTTTTTTTTTTTTAAATCGTCCTGCCGTTGATGTTCGGTTCTTTCGACTAATGAATTCGCCAACCATTGTCCTAGGTTAAAAGAGTCATCACGTAGTTTGCCACTCCCCCAGATCCAGACCAACTCTAGATACGCCTCTGTCTTGTTGTTTTCAGATAAAGACTAATTTCGTATTAGACTCACATAACTGAACAGTCTGGTTATGGACTTATTGAAACTACAACACAGAGATCGATTTCTCGTTGATAATAGAATTCAAAAGGAAATACTCTTCGATAAGATAGAGTAATCGATTACATGAGATTGGGAAGACTTTATCCCTACTCGATACATATTTTTAAAAAATCAATCAGAAGTTTAATGTTAATATTTTAAATTCACTTTATATTATTTCACATTATTATCTAAAAATTTTCATTTTTTATTTTTTATCAGGCTTTTCAAAAATATTTGCGTGATCCCTATTCACTGTTAAAATTGAATTGACAGATATGTGATGATTGTCACTAGCAGATATGCGATGTTGTCATTGGCAGATATGTGATGTTGTCACTGGCAAATATGTGATGTTGTCACTGGCAGGTATGTGATTTTGTCACTGGCAGGTCTGTGATGTTTTCACCGGATGATATGTGATCTTGTCACTGGCAGATATGTGATGTTGGTACTGGCAGATATGTGATTTTGTCACTGGCAGATCTGTGATGGTTGTCATCGGCAGATATGTGATGTTGTCACTGGCAGATATGTTATGATTGTCACTGGCAGATCTGTGATGGTTGTCAGCGGCAGATATGTGATGTTGTCACTGGCAGATATGTGTTATGCCTTCACGGGCTTTTTCAGTAAATTGGACTTTGTTTTCAAACAACTATAATCACAACTATAATCATAACTATAATCACAATTATAATCATAACAATAATCTATCCTTAATAAATATATCAGAAACAAGAAACGAACACACAAAAAATAACAACAAAACCACTGTTGATTTTTTTTCCAAAGAAAAAAAAAATTGTATTTCTTGTAAGTAATTATTGTAAGTTATTAACCTAACTCTTCTTTTGCAACTACTTGGCTTCGAATGCATTTTTACACGGGTAGCTGATTCGAACAAAATATTTTAATACAATTAAACAAACAATATAATAATTTAAGCCATCTCTCGTACTGAACCATCACTCCAGTGAAACTCAATTTGAAGAATAAAAAGATATTTAATAACAAAAAAATACAAAGTACATGTGGACCGTCAACGTAAAATCAGTGACTTCCACACGACATTCTTTGTTTTCATAATAACATCAAAGCTACTGTAGATTCCTAAAGCAACGGATGCACTCAGTGACGTAATACAAATTGTGCTTTACGATGTAGGCATGTTTCAATGACGTCATCGCACCGTGCACGAGATCCGTGCGGATATTGCACAACGTGAAGAGCTTTTGACGATGTTTGGGGGCGTGGCTGGCATTTTTTGGTGGAGTTATTTCATTGGCTGTTATTTATAGTCAAGGTGTTTTGAATTGACTTCGTAGGCAAGTACTAGTGCTAATTTTTTCCGTTTAGATCTTATTAATACTGCCCAACACGGTATGTGATATCCACACTGATCGTATGCGAAGGTTCGCCACGTGACGTCACCCATTCTTCCACGTCCAGGAGCACACTGATGTATTGATGCTATCTTTCTATCCTTCAATTCAAGCCCACTGCAGTGCGTGGCTACGAAGTTCTATATTGCACAAAATTATCTGCTGGAGTCAACGCAGCTTGAGAAGGAAAAAAAAAAATATTGAAAGAACAATACAGGGAGTTTAAAACAAAAAAAAGAAATTGGATATTTACAACGAACAAACAAAAATATAATTTTAACACCCAAATCAATTCAAAGGAACTCTTGGGGCTTTCTTTGTTTTTTTGGTTTTGTACACTCAAAATTATCATATTATTACACGATTGGCCACTGTCACTCAATTCTATTTTTAAACAGTAAAAAAGAAAGGGAAAAAAAAATTGTTGAGTTTTATTGACTTTGAATTGTTTTCACAATATTCAAAGACGATAATAAATTAAAAAGAGATTTTGGAAGAGGTTAGAAATATTATTGCATACAGTTTTTAACACTAAAAAAACCATCTATAAAAATTCAGCAAGGTCTGTTGAGTGATGATGGTTGAATTGTGAAGCACACACAAAAATATCATACAATTAATTTTTAACGATGGTAGACTCTCGTTGCTCAGACAGACACACTACTATTGCAGACAAAAGCAAAATTAAATAGTAGTATCAAATTTTAAAGTCATGCTGTATTCCGTCTGTGGGACAGTTTCATCCGATAGATGGTGTTGACAGGCGCTGGTGACCGGGTCGAGTTGCTGGGATGTTTACAGTAGTGGCAGGTGGCAGGGTGTCAGGTTAAGATCCCTATCTTTGTTGAAAGTAGAATTTTTAGTTTTAAAGATCAGGTCTGGCTGGTGTTGTCTAATAATTGGATTCGTTAACCCTGCAAAAAAAAAAAAAAAAAAAAAAAAAAAAAAAAAAAAAAAAAAAAAAAAACAAAAAAAAAAAAAAAAAAAAAACACAAGAGCTTTAATAGAAGAGAAAATCTTAACCTTACTTTGTGATCATGTGACATGGATTTAAGTATATTGAGTTGAAAAGAGCTAATCAAAATACACTGTTACAATACCAGGAGTCAGTTACAATGGTACGATAACAGGAGTCAGTTACAGTAGTACAATACCAGAGTCAGTTACAACGGTGCAATACCAGGAGTCAGCTACAATGGTACAATACCAGGAGTCTGTTACAGTAGTACAATACCTGGAGTCAGTTACAATGGTACAACACCAGGAGTCAGTCACAATGGTACAATACCAGGAGTCAGTTACAATCTACTCACCCCTAACTCAAAGAACTGACAGAGGGCGTCCCTACTCAGCGGCCTCGGGGGCGGGAGAGGGCGTCACGGTCTTGCTGATCCTCTTGATCTCAGGGGGTGGGGGCTCCTTGGCAAGGTCTTCGAAAAGCACCATTCTTTCCTTGTAGGATCGGTGGTCAGTGTGGCGCTCGTACTTGCTGCACAGCTGGATCTTTGGCTGAGGGAGTGGGGGGGGGGGAGGCAAGAGGTTAATGATCAGGTCATTCATTTAGGCGGCAAGGTGTCAATGGTGATGTGGTCATGGATGAGTGAACACAATTGTTTAATGATATGGCCATGAACTGAGGCGACTAGGGTCATGACCATCGGGTTTGTATAGCCAATAAGCAACCATCTCCTAAACTTAAGGCACGTTATTGATATTACGTCAGTTGTTTGGCTATATCCACTTCGATGAAAGTAGCTGGGATAAAGTATTGTGTTGTTATTACTCAAAGAAATCAAACTTTATAAAACTATTTTGTCTACGTTTTCAGTAGCATGAAATACGTTTATTATTTTCATCACTTGTATGTCTTCTTCTTATTATTATTATAAGAATTGCGGGATTTCCCCGAGACAACACCCACCACCCCTAAAGTACCTCTAAAAAAATCGAGACGGAACATATTAACAAGTAACTTCATATATTGATATAATCATAATCGATGGTTTGTCGAGAGCCCAAATATAATCATAATCGTTGGTTTGTTGAGAACCCAACTATCAAATACTGGGGTATTATTTGAAGCTACTTACAAAAAATATAAATGTTTTGTATTTAAAGATACTTTTATTTACTAGACGTTATATTTATTTTAATAAATATACCTTCATTTATGAAACGCAATTTCCATTTATTTAAATCTACTTTCATTTATTTGAATCTACTTCCGTTTATTTTAATCTGCTTTCATTTATTTGAATCTACTTCCATTTATTTAAATCTACTTTCACATATTTAAAATCTACTGCCATTGATTCAAGGCCACTTACTGGAGCACTGGTAAATTTGTCAGCCAGACGATCAAAGCTGAAAAAGAAAGATAACCCATATATTTAACAATGTCAATGCATTTAATTCAATCAAAATTAAAACAACGGCAAATCAAGTTGACTTTGAATTAAAACAAGGGCCAATCAATTTTACTTAGAATTAAAACAAGGGCAAGTCCACTTGACTTAGGACTACAACAATGGCAAATCGGCTTGACTTAAGACTACAACAAGGGCAAATCAACTTGACCTAGGACTACAACAAGGGCTAATCAACTTGACTTAAGACTACAAGAAGGGCTAATCAACTTGACCCAGGACTACAACAAGGGCTAATCAACTTGACCTAGGACTACAACAAGGGCTAATCAACTTGACTTAAGACTACAAGAAGGGCTAATCAACTTGACCTAGGACTACAACAAGGGCTAATAAACATGACTTAAGACTACAAGAAGGGCTAATCAACTTGACCTAGGACTACAACAAGGGCTAATCAACTTGACTTAAGACTACAACAATGGCTAATCAACTTGACTTAAGACTACGACAAGGGCTAATCAATTACAAAAAAAAAAAAAGATGAAAAATTGAACTTTAGAGTTAAAAACAAACTAGAATTAAAATGTTTTATGAAATTGAGAAGGAATAGGAACATAATGTATGGATTGATTGACTGATTGATAGACTGATTGACTGATTGATTGACTGATTGACTGATTGACTGATTGGCTGATTGACTGATTGACTGATTGACTGATTGACTGATTGATTGATGGACTGATTGATGTCGTGCAGCTTGTTCAGAGGTAGCAATTCATTCTGCATATATATATATTTTTTATTCATTTCAGGCAGCTAAAGTAAACTTACGATTCGTCGACTTGGACGGTGGTCACTCCACGCTTGGCCTTGCCCTTGTTCATCTGCCTGGCACGCTCAGCTAGCTCGATCATCTGTTCAGAGATTATTTTTAAATAATAATTTCATGATCACGTTGTAAAAAAACGGGCATTTATTACACCTAACAAAACTACACTTAATATTCACAAGAAAACCACAGTTAAGGCACCTCACCAATCATAACAGGAGATTCTCAAGCTTGTTATTGTACCACTAGAGCCCTAAACCTTTCCCTAACCCTGACCCTAACCCTAACCATAACCCTAACTCTAACCCTAACCCTAACCATAACCCTAACTCTAACCCTAACCCTAACCCTAACCCTTACCCTTACCCTAACCCAAACCGTAACCCTAACCCTAACCCTGACCCTAACCCTAACCCTAACCCTAACCATAAACATAACTCTAACCCTAACCCTAACCCTTGCCCTAACCCTAACCCTAACCCTGACCCTAACCATAAACCTAACTCTAACCCTAACTCTAACCCTAACCCTTACCCTTGCCCTAACCCTAACCCTTACCCTTGCCCTAACCCTAACCCTAACCCTAACCCTAACCCTTGCCCTAACCCTAACCCTAACCCTGACCCTAACCCTAACCATAAACCTAACTCTAACCCTAACCCTAACCCTAACCCTAACCCTTACCCTTACTAACCCTAACCCTAACCCTAGCCCTAACCCTAACCCTAACCCTTACCCTAACCCTAACCCTAACCCTAACCCTAACCCTAGCCCTAACCCTAACCCTAACCCTGACCCTAACCCTAACCCTAACCCTAACCCTAACCCTAACCCTAACCCTAACCCTAACCCTTACCCTTGCCCTAACCCTAACCCCTACCCTTGCCCTAACCCTAACCCTAACCCTAACCCTTACCCTTGCCCTAACCCTAACCCTTACCCTTGCCCTAACCCTAACCCTAACCCTAACCCTAACCCTTACCCTTACCCTTCCGCTTAACGAAAGAAATTCTCTGGTGTGCGCCCGGCTCAACGGCCACGGACAACAAAGAACTAGGTCACTTACGTCATATTGTTGTCTCTTGAAGCGCTGTTCCAGGTCATACTTGTCTCCCTCCAGGCGCTTGATGTGCTCATTGAACTCCCTGGCCTTCTCGATCAGTTTTTCAGAAGTCAGGCCTGGGGATACAAAGATGGGAGAGTTTCAAGGGTTTATTAGAGGGAATATTTGTTTATTCCGGTTATTATTAATCCGGCTTTATGGTATACCGTTTTATAAGTAGATATTTCTTCTTTTTTAATGCATTTTTTTTGGGGGGGGGGGTGGGGTGGGGTGGGGGGAGCACTTGACAAGTGTCTGATTCTCAAAAGTCTAATTTATTTCCTTTCAATTTCAGCCAACCGTTGAACGCTATCTAAAAAGAAGATTCCCTATATGGTCTCTTCTGGGAATGAAACTCAAGGCAATTCGCAGCCAATAAATGGTTTACCACCGCTAGCTCAGCGTTATGCCCACCCGACTGTAAATAACAAACGCTGATCTTAGAATGTTCCAAATGAATCAGAGTCCCACTGGTCATCATAAGACAGAGATCTAGGTTAGTCAGAATTATTGTAAACAATACTTTAATAAATTTTTGTTTTGTTCCGGTTAGGGACATTTCAATTTTTCTCTACCCTTTTGCGCAAGTCCTGGAGGTCATATATTCGTGCTACTCCATTAGTCTCACGTTCGTGCTACCCCATTAGGTGAAATATTCGTGCGACCCCATTTTGGTCATATATTCGTGCTTCCCCCGTTAGGTCACATATTCGTTTTTCCCCATTAGGTCACAATTTCGTGCTACCCCATTTAGTCACATATTCGTGCTACCCCCATTAGGTCACACATTCGTGCTACCTCCATTTAGTAGCATATTTAATCGCGCTACCCCCATTAAGTAACATATTCGTACTACCCCACTAGGTTACATACTACCCCCATTAGGTCACACAATCATGCTACCCCGATTTAGTCACATATTCGTGCTACCCCAATTAGGTCACAGATTCGTGCTACCCCCTTTTAATCACATATTCGCGCTACCCCCATTAGGTCACAGATTCGTGCTACCCCAGTTATATCTTCTCTTTGTAGCCCGTGACATCCACTGACCTACCTTCAATGCTGAGGGGCTGAATCCTCTGGGCCAGGATGGCCTGCTTCTCCTCCTCAAGTTGCTCCTTGGACTTCTGGAGCTCCTCCTTGCTCATGATAGAGTCCAGCTTAAGCACAAGTGTAACAAACATTTAACAAAGGCACCGTGAACAGATCACATGTGTTCTACGCTAACGACTTAGATGGAGTGGTCAGAAACGCTCACAGAATCTAGTCTTTTGCACGACTAATCTAATTCTTAAGAAAATGAATGTGCCTGGAGAGCATTTTAATCCACACTGCAACTTTGAAGGTACGTGAAGAAAATTTGGAACTAAAAAGATTCAGACAAGCAGTGCAGAGGTTTTGGTACCTTAGTTGTCAACCCTCACGGATGACGTAGAAGCCATTGAAAAGTTAAAGATGGTACAAGGCCATAGAAATATTCGCGTGTCAGGCAAATGAAGACATGAGACCAGCCGACTGCTAGGAAGGGGAAATAACACCGTGAAAGCTCAGCATGACCTGTGTCACAATGACCTGTGTCATCATGACCTGTGCCACAATGACCTGTGTCACAATGACCCGTGTCACAATGACCTGTGTCACAGTCTGCTGGCCTGTCAACAATACCGTGACCCGTTACGGGGTGAAGGTCAGACATTGGGGAAAGGGGGAAAAAAAAAGCAGATTCTTAAGTCGTGAAAAAACAAAGAAAGATAAAGTGATCAATTGTGTGCAGGAGAGAAAGAGAGCTGGAGAAGTCTACACGCGGATGGAGAGGGTGAAGGCAAGTAAGCAAAATTGTTTTGCCCGAGAAAGGAACTAGAATAAAAAATACATGTTTGAAATTTGCTTTTAGAATATCATTTCACCCTGCATACTATACGGGCATTTCTAAAGAAGCACCCCCACTACCACACAAAAGAAAAAAAAAATTTAAAGTTTAAAAATTAAAAGTAGTATTTAAATTATTTAGTTGATTTAAAAGTTTACAAGAAAATTAATTATAATATATATAAATTACGTTAATCTTGAATAAATAAAGTTTTATTACTAAAATTTAAAAACTTATTTGAATAAATTAGCTTATTTTTGTGTGCAATAATTTTCAATAGAAAAAAATGTGTTTATTGTGTTGACATATGAAATAAAAGTGTTGCGGTGTTAAAATAATTGTTACTCTAGAAAATGCCCCTGGTATCTACATCAATACCCTTTGCCCTTACAATCAATACCCCTTGTACCAACCTCTACAAATACATTTAGAATTTTCAATTTTTTTTTTTTTTTAAAGAAAAGAATCCCTTGGAGCATCGCGCTCATTTTGAAGCAATACAATTTTAAAATAAAAAAAAAAACTATTTAAAAAAAATAAAAAGCATACTTCTTATCAGAATACATTTTTGTACTTGCACAATAAAACATAACTATTTACGTGTAAAATTGTGTTGCTGATGGGCGTCTATTTGGTTCAAGTTATTTTCCCCGAATAGAAATCTCAATTTTCTTTACACATCGGGAAAAACAATGTCAATGTCACAAGCATGTATCAGGGAAACTTAGTGTTTACAATTTAAATGATAGGGCAAGTGTGTGCGGTGTTAGAGAGTAGCGACATGACATGCACAGTGCACATTCTCAGTAGTGGTTTTAGTTGAAAGTAGTATTTATAATTTAGTTTTTAAAAATAAAAAAGCCAAACAAAAAAGTGAAATGCCCATAAAATAAGTACGTAAAATAAATGCATTCAACGGGGTTACAATAACAAAATATTTTTTTTTGGGGGGTGGGGTTAGCTTTGATAACCCATTAATTGTTATCATCAAGCTTATTCAAATTTTTTTACTTATTTGGGAAAAACACCTGGCCAACGAAAGCCTATTTAAGACCTCTTCTCCCCCCACCCTTCCCCCTTTTCCTCTCTTTCAAAATCACAGCACACGTTTTTGTATCAGGGTACATTATTTAGAATTTTTGTTTTAAATTTAACAACAATTTTTCAACTTTAAACTAATCTCTTATAGCTATTGATTAAACCACATTTGTAACTCGACTTTAAACCAATCTCTTATAGCTATTGATTCAATCCCTTAACTCGCATCTATACTGCAAACCAATCCATTTTTTAATTTTAACCTAACACACCCCCCCCCCCCAAATGGTTATGTTTGAGAAAAAATCAGTTTTACAATTACTCATTTCCAAAATAAATTTGCTTAGGAAAACTCCACCCACTTAAAAGGAAAAAAAAAAAAAAAAGGTTTAACATCTCTCAAACCTTAGCTGCACTGGTCTGGTTTTGTGAGAAATATTTGGCACCCTTGTAAAATAAACACATAAATTGTATAATTATATAACAAAAATAATGACAAAACAATCCTACTCTCAAAATGATGCACAAACCTAGGTTGGGGTGACTTGATACCTTGTGGTGACATACAATGAAAGCAAGTGCAAAAATATTGCATGTTCTTTTAACATTTAATTTTTACTTCATTACTAGTAACCCAGTGCAAGATCAATGTCTTAGCCATAACCCATGCATATGTTCCTTTTTCACCCATGCAAATGTTCCTGTTCAACCCATGCAACCCATGTTCTCGTGTGTGTTACCTTATTGAATGGGAAATGTATTATTTTAATTAAATTATATGGCCGTAGATCTGCCAGTCAGTCGATCTTTCAGTCAGTCCATCTGTCAGTCAGTCATTCGTCAGCCAGTCCATCTGTCAGTCAGCCCATCTGTCAGTCAGTCCATCTGTCATTCAGTCCATCTGTCAGTCAGTCTTTCTGTCAGTCAGTCCATCTGTCAGTAAGTCGATCTGTCATTTAGTCCATCTGTCAGTCAGTACATCTGTCAGTCAGTCATTTGTCAGTCTGTCGATCTGTCAGTTAATCCATCTGTCAGCCAGTCGATCTGTCATTTAGTCGATCTGTCAATCAGCCCATCTGTCAGTCAGTCAATCTGTCAGTCAGTCGATCTGTCAGTTAGCCCATCTTTCAGTTAATTGACGAGAGAGATTGTGGAAGAGTGACGGGGGTAGGGTGGGGTGGGGGTTAAGGGGCTAGTTGGTGGGGCACAAAGGTTTGTTCAGAAGACGATAGATCTATTTTATTGTAACTCGGCTGCATGTGGATTTAGATAAACTATGCAAAAATGCGGGATTACAGGTGGGATATATTTGTACATGGAACATAGAACATCCAAAGTTAATCTTAACATCAGGAATAGGAGGGAGATCACTCCAGCCTCGTCTTGACAACACAGCTTGCCTTGTTTTTTTTTGTTTTTGTTTTTTTTAAATAGCTGGGATTATGTTGAGTTACTGGTCTTTAAAAAAAGAAATATCTACACAAAGATATATTTTTTTATCATTCAATAATATGTCTCAGTGACAACTGCAGTAAATAATGAATTTTTATTGTCAAAATAATAAATGAAAGAATTGTGCTATACTCCTGAAATTCTGTATCATTAAGTTTTTTTTTTTTTTTTTTAAAGATAAGTGTATCGTCAAAAGCAAGGCTGGAACTGTTTTGAATTTTTTTTTACTAAAAAAATAAAAATGAATTAAAAAGTTATTTTTTTTTTTTTTTTTTTAAAGATAAGTGTATCGTCAAAAGCAAGGCTGGAACTGTCTTGAATTTTTTTTTACTAAAAAAATAAAAATGCATTAAAAAGTTATTTTTTTTTTAACATAACATGGGTTGATATGTAGCTGATATATATACGGGGTTGATATGGATGGATGGGTTGCACAATAAAAAAAAATATATATATATATAAACATAAACAAAAAGTTCTGTCCACGCTAATTGTAAAATCAATTGTAGTTACCACTTCAGATCCGCCCTGTAGAGATGGAAGTGTTAGTATGAGTATGAGACATTGAAAACAAAAGAAAAAAAAAACATGTCTTTTGTACTTGAAAATCACAATAGATCCAAAGGCGTAATCACCACTGCCGTTTATTGGGCCCATTGGCTTTAGAACCCCGAACTCAAAGGGAGAAGACATTGTTTCATTCTTTTTTAATAGGGAGCAGTGCTTGTTCAATTCTTACAGGGAGCAGGCCTGGTTTCATTTTAAAAATGTATATAGTTAACAATATGGTTTTAATTTAGTTGTAGAACAGTTTAAAAAAAAATAATGTTCGACAATTTAAACTTTAAAACAAATGTTAGAATTTAATTCAACTTTCATTTTATTTCTCTACCAAAGAGGGTCAAAGGTGGCGCCGCCTCTGAGAACCCACAGCAGGTGTAGATACGCCAATGGAAGACTATTTGTTTTAGCAGTAATCTCTCAACAGGTCTTAAAGTCTTCGTTTATAGTAAAGTAAAAGTTGTTTCCCTAATAAAATTTTGTATCCGACCCTGGGAAAGGTCGTAAGGAGATCTGGCTTAAAAGATCAAAAGATCAATAGATCAATAAGTCGCTGTGAGAGACTTGAGAGCTAGAACAAGTTGAAGCGTTTAATCAACTAAATATATCAACAGCTTAACTTAACTGAGCAAAGAATAATTGAATTATGGTTAAATTAATTTAAAAAAAAAAAAATTAGCATTAATTGATTCATTTTTAATTAAAAACTAAAAAAAAAATGAAATCTTTGCAATGTTATTTAAAAGCTGCAAAATTTTGAGTAACATTTTAATTTATTTAAATTGTAAAAAAAATATTTCTTTTTAGTAATATTAATAGTTACTAACCAAATATATTACATTTAAATAAGTCACTTTAGCAAAGAATTTACTTTAGTAAATAAGTTACTTTAGTAACAATGAAGCAAAGTATCCAATTTTTAATGTAAAAACAAAAAAAAAATAACTTAATGTGCATGAAAGATTCCTGAAATCATATAAATGATCATATTCTGAGATCATATTTAATGATCATATTCTGAGATCATATAAATTATTGAATAGTTTTTTTTGAATATGTACCTTGCTTCTTTGTTCATTGATAATTTTTACAATATCCTTGTTTCACTTTCATTAACTGCTCTTAAAACCGTTGCTAGCTAACAATTAATTTATTATGGAAAAAAAGACGAAAGCGAGACATGGCAACCAGGAGATTTGGAAGAAATAAATCAGCAACAGTAATCTGAACTAAAGTAACATTCCCGCAGTAATCTGAACTAAAAAGTAACATTGCCGGAAAAAAAAGAAAAAGATCTAGCAGTAAACGAAGAGAATCATCTTCAGAAACTTAAAGATACGTCTTTACTGGTTAGTGCAGCTAAACGTAAATACAGATCACAGATGAATGGGGTTAGCGTAGGAACACATGACAATGAGCACACTGAACGGATGGAACTACATTGCGGTCTTCTAGTGTGAGTTATCCTCTTGAGGGTTGTGATTGTCTCCCCCTGTTTTTTTTAAAAATAAAAATCGAATTGTGTAGTAGTTGGGGTTTAAAAGATACTTTTTTCTTCACTTCCATTTTTTTGTTCCTTTGGTTAAAAATAAATAATTTTTCACCCTTCCGTCTCGGTAGAATTTAAAAGTATTAAATTACTAGCGATTGAGCGTCAATAATATCTTTATTCAGAGATTTGGAACGTATTTTTAGTGAATTTTGTTGTTGATTGTATATTACGCAGTTCTCTATTTGAAATTTTATATAACAATTGGCATATGTCACAGCCCACCATTGGAATATGTTTTGAGATGATATCAGTCCATCATAAAAAATGTGACTTCCTTTCTGGTATGTTTACTTCCTCCCCCCATACATCTAGTCTTTTAGAATCATACGTGTGTTATATGTGGGTCTTTACAGATCCTAGCCTCATCGAAGTCTTTCATGTCCAAGTTCTTGTTAACATTCTATGCTTACTGGCCGTGCGTGTCTGTAAAAAAAGTTGTGCAGGACACATGGTGTTGAGTCGCTGTGTGTCTTTGTGTGAGAGATATGTGTTTGGTGTATGTTTGAGTTCCCCAAAAACACGCGTTTTTATGTATTAGACAAATTAGGATTCAATGCCTAATTTTTTTTTTGTGTAAGTGGTTGTGTTTAGTAATTGTGTGTATTTCTGTATAATAGCTATGTGTTTAGTCCACGAGTGTATGTTTTTAATACACCCATGTGTTTTGTTTTTATGTGTATGCCTCAATGTCTCTCTGTAAGACAAATGGTGTGTGTCTCCCTAAGTGTCTGTCTGTAAGACCGCAATAGCCACTAGATGACTCACTGAACCAGCCACCTTTTCCGAGTCGCTCTTCTTGGAGATCTTGAAGTTGCGTCCCTTGGGCTTGAGCCTCTCCTCCGCCTCCCGCTTCTTCTTCTCGCGGTCGTCCTTGACCCTGACCTCCTCGTCCTGCTTCTTCCTTCTTCTTTCTTCCTGTAAACAAATTCTTCTTGTATTTAACTTCTTCCTTTATTTTTTTTATTTTTCTTTTTTGCTATTAAACTTATAGAAAATTTCTTTTTCTTGAATAACGCACTTTTTTTTTTTTATAAGCGGTGATTTGACATTCTTAAATGAGAATATCGGGGTAGAGAAAAAACTACACTTCTCTTGTTACAAAAATACTTTTACTCAAAGAATCTCATAGGACAATTCTTATTTAGAAAAAAAATAATTTCATATTGTTTGTTCTTTGCTTTCTTATATATTTAGATTTATATATATATATAATTTTTTTTTTTTTTTTAATCTTCCCAAAAAACTAGGACCTCGAGGATACGACACTGAAACGCCAATTGTGCCGACATAACACCATGACCCCCAAATTACCATTGATGTAGGAAAATAAAACAGTAATTTTTCTTCCCCCCCCCCCCCCTCTTCTTAAGCGGGTCTCCATCTAGCGTGTGATATGTGGTGTTACTCCGGTTGCCATGGAAGCACATCTTTAACGCTCACACTTTTCTTACCTCCTCAGCTTTCCTCCTGACCTCCTCTTGAGCCCTCAGCTCGGTCAGCCTCTTTTCCTCCTCAACTCGTTCCTTCTGGCGTTGGATCTAGAAGAAGAAAATGGAATGAAATACAAATGAAAGAATTCCATTTCTGAAATGAACGGTTGAAATTAAGGGGTGGGGGTGGAACACATGATTTGAACCACTGAGACAAGCCAAATAAGTGTTCAGCACACAAACCCACCTTTTCATGTCAAACCCACCATTTTATGACAAACCCACCATTTCATGACAAACCCACATTTTTATGACAAACCCACAATTTCATGACAAACCCACAATTTCATGACAAAATCACAATTTCAATGCAAACCCACCTTTTTATGACAAACTCACAATTTCATGACAAACCCACAATTTCATGACAAACCCACCATTTCATGACGAACCCACCATTTTAAGACAAACCCACCCTTTTCTGACAAACCCACCATTTCATGACAATCCCACCATTTCATGACAAACCCACAATTTCATAACAAACCCAACCTTTCTTGACAAACCCAAGCTTTCATTACAATCCCACCATTTCATAACAAACCCAACCTTTCCTGACAAACCCACCCTTTTCTCTCTGAGATTGCGGATCTCCTCCTCCTCCTTGACTTTCTCGGCCTTCCTCATCTCCTCGTACTCAGCCAGGTCAGCAGCCTGCTTCTCCAGACGGGCCCTCTTGGCTTCCTGGAGGAGTAAAGAATGGACGCGAGTCAAACCAGTGGTTAGGATAAGCTACACAAGTCCAAGCAGTCGTTAGGATATCCTACAGAAGTCAAACCAGTCCTTAGGATAAGCGACTACACACTATCATTTCATTACAACAACATCGACCAAACTATTTTTAAGTTGCACACTTTTATGAGATGAAAAAATACACGAGAAAAGATCAAAAGATTTTTTTAGCACGCCATCTATGACATTATTTAGTTCAATGTGTTTTTTTCACTGACCTCCATGGCTCGCTTCGCTTCATTGGCGTCAACAGGTCTGAAAATACACAAAAGTCAAGAACAAAATAAAATATGATCAACTCTACTGCAAAATTTATATTTTTTAAGTAAAAAAAAAAAGACATCTTTATTTTTGTGTGTGTGTCTGTGTGTGTGTGTGTGTGTGTGTGTGTGTGTGTCTGTGTGCAGCACTCCAAATGACTAACTAAAGTTTTGCTTTTTTTTTTTTTTTTCTACGTAAATGAAGGAGAGAACGCCTGTAAAGTGTAGTTAATAATATCATATGGAGATATGTACGGGAGTGAATTGGGTTCTCTCCTCATAGCTGTCAAGATCCGTGCGAGCTTATCACTGATTCGCTTAGCATTGTCAAACTCACTACTAGTGTGTAGCTGGCGAGATCTGTGCCAGGTAATCGACTGGATCATGTAGCATTGTCAAAAACTCAAGTGTCGGAAATCTCAAGGTCAACAAGCAAACAGTGCCAACAAGAGCAACAATTCATCTTGACTCCACCATGCAGTGTGAACAGAACAAACTAATGGGTGATTACGGACATGACGTCATTCACAAAAGCTGGGGATAAATGGGGGTGGGTCGGTGGGGAGCTTGGGCGAATTTAAAAAAAAAATACATATTTGTATGGCTGTGTTGATACATGATCAACCATAAGTAATAATTTTTCGTTGACTTTCAAATACGTCCAAGGATATGCTATATGCGTTACTGATATCCATTGAATTATATGTAATAATGCTTCGATGTCTTTCGATAGTATCCATGGATCTGCTGTACACGTTACCCATATCATATCCATTTAATTATAATTTAGTAAGGAGAACCATAATGTAACTTCTTCACTGGATAAAACATGAAGATGTAATAAATTGTTGGTCCATTAGTGATAACGCAAATTAATTGCAGACTACATTGATAGTCATGAACCTTTGGACATGACGTTGCTTAAGACTAGCGTTTCTTGGCCTCAGGATACACGGGGAACACCCCCGCCCCCCTCCCATGGCCTAAGGGCAATACGGGAACACGTTATTATGAATAAAATTGCAGGTGTTTTAAAAAAAACACAAAAAGAAAGAAACACTCTAGAAGGTGATACTCTTACTAGCAATGGGGAGTGCAATGGTGAATCTAACTACAAGAGAAGACATTCGAAGTGCGCATCTCTTTCCCACTCTCTCTCTCCTCTCTCTCTCTTTGCACACGTCGGTGAACTGGTGCTGTAACACAGAGTGGGAGGAGCTAAACTATTCTAAAAAAAAAAAAAAAAAACAAACAAAAAAAAAAAAAACAAAAAGAAAGAAACCCTCTAGAAGGTGATACTCTTACTAGCAATGGGGAGTGCAATGGTGAATCTAACTACAAGAGAAGACATTCGAAGTGCGCATCTCTTTCCCCCTCTCTCCCTCCCCTCTCTCTCTTTGCACACGTCGGTGAACTGGTGCTGTAACACAGAGTGGGAGGAGCTAAACTATTCTAAAAAAAAAAAAAAAGAACAGTCTAAAAATAGAAACCATGTGGTGAAATTTTCTAACAGGAACTACTTGTGCAAGAAGCCATGTGTAATCTGTGTCATGCTCTGTCCTCTTAAGGTAATCAGCATCTGAACAATCATCTGAAGAAACATCCATTTTGGTGAAGAAACGGAAGGACAAACATCTGATTTCCAACCAATCTTTTACTATGTATCCGGCCCATGGGAAGCATTCACAAACACTTTTAACAATTATTATTCTAATGAGGAGCATGCTCTCGTGACCCTTCACAACGTTGCTTCTACAAGGCATCATGCCCTTGCGACAGTGTCTAAAGTATGCCCCGAAAAGGCATCATGCCCTTGCGACAGTGTCTAACGTATGCTCCAAAAGGCATCATGCCCTGAGTAAACACTCACACCGACGATCCTCCTTCCTGGGACTCCGACCTTGAAACGTCAGCGGCGGATAGACAGAACGTGATAGGGATAGATAAATGCAAAGTTCATCAATGACATTTTTGCAACAATGACAAGTTCATCAGTGACACATTTGCAGCAATGGCAAGATCACAAATGACATTTGTGCAGTGATGAAAACTCGTGCATCCATGACACATTACCAATCAACATAATCAAATCGATAATTTAAGATTAGAAAGAAAAAATAGTTTTCTTGATTTCTTTACATAATCAGAACGATTGGACGATACTATCAATTTATTTTTTTTACATTGTTTTCTTTTCAGTCACAGAAATAATTGATTTCTTCTCTCTCTCAAGTATTGTTAAAGATTACTGTTAACTATGATAATTGACAGTTGTGTAAAATATTTTTAAAAATTGCCTTCATTTGGAAAACCACATCACAGAAAGCACTGCACAGAAAGCACTGCACAGAAAGCACTGCACAGAAAGCACTGCACAGAAAGCACTGCACAGAGTGATAAAGATGGCTGACTACAAAACAACAGTTGAATAAAAGACAAGTTGTCTGGTCTAAAAATCACGAGTATAGGAAAAGTTCTGAGATGGATTCACATTATAGATCAAGTGGATTGGAAAAGACAAATCATTTGTATTGGATTTAAGGCAGTGGATCATATGGATGAAACAAAAAGCAGACTTGCAGGGGGGGGGGGTGTAATTTTTTAGAGAAAGTGGAAACCAGAAAGCACTTCTTAAAAAAAAAAAAAATATTTAATTCCTTCTGGCCCCCAACCATCCCCCCCCTCCTCTTGAACTCTTCCACCCCCCCCCCACCCCAAGCAAAAACAAAACACAAGAATTAAGTATTTCCCGAATTTTTGAAGATGTCAGTAATTTTAGCCACCACACTCAAATTGTGTTGTATTTATTGATTGTTTTTACTTTTCCAAGAATAATAATTAATTGAGAAGATTGTGATTGAATTACGACTCATTAACAGCATACTGTACAATTCTCAAGAATTGTGCAAAATATAGCTCTTTTAAAAAAAAAAAAAAAAAAGGTAATTATTTGCAGTCAAACATATCGATACTTCAAAACAGAAAAAGTCAGTCAAGACACAGAAATTCAAAAATGCTTCAAATTGTGAGTTCATTCAGAAGTTGCGTTACTGTTCATGTTTATTGTGTTTGTAAAGTGTTTATAATTATTAGTGTTTCATCTTATTTAATCCAAATATAAACTTTAAGCTGCAGTTTAATCAAGTTAGTAGAAATCAGAATGAATAATAATGTAAAGAAAAAGCCACCGAAAGGTCAGTGTGTTCAAAGGACGATCGAGTTAAACTCAGCAGTAGAGGTCTAAAGCAAGCACTTTAATCACACAAGCAGTGGCGTAGCGAGGGGGTTTGGCGCCTGGGGACAAGATTCGCGCCCGGGGACTAGATACATTTTTAGCGCCCCTTTTTCTTTTTTTTTTAAAATCTCAAACCCATTATTTTCATCAATGAAATAATATCAAAGCCCATTTTGGCGCCCCTAACTAGCTGGCGCCCGGGGACATCTGTCCCCCCCCCCTGCCCCCACCACGCTACGCCTCTGCAAACAAGCAACCACTTTTTAAAAAAATATATATATAGCGGAAACTTGTATTATATAATCATATTTATAAATAAAAATTAATCATAGAAAAAAAAGGATACAAATGTGTCATTTAAGCTATTTATTTTATTCATGGATGTTTAAAAAAAAAAAAAAAGAAATGTTAAAATATCGTAAGTAAAATATGGATTGGATTCCAAAGAAAGAAAAAAAAAATAAAGAAAATAAGAATTTGGCAAAAAAAAAAAAAAATAGTAAAAAAAAAAAAAAACAGAAAAATAAAAAAAAGCAACCACTTTTTAAAAAAATATATATATAACGGAAAATTGTATTAAATAATCATATTTATAAATAAAAATTAATTATAGAAAAAAAAGGATACAAATGTGTCATTTAAGCTATTTATTTTATTCATGGATGTTTAAAAAAAAAAAAAAAGAAATGTTAAAATATCGTCAGTAAAATATGGATTGGATTCCTAAGAAAGAAAAAAAAATTAAAGTAAATGAGAATTTGGCGATAAAAGAAAATAATTGTGAAAAAAACAAAATACAGCAAAATAGTTGATACAAAACTAAACACCTGGAACAGAAGAGTGGATTATTGGATGTAAAGAAACAAGAAAAAAATGCCCAAAAAATCCACAGTATCCACCACGAAAAAAAAAAATCCACTCGGTCATTCTGGCAACTTACGGCGCATCTCCAAGATCATGTGATCTCTCTTCGTGGCGTTGTCTGCGTAAACAGCAAGGGAATTAATTTCGTAGGGCGTTTGAAAATTGTAGGACTTTTCTAGACTTATTTTCTTGTGAATTTTTGTGTGTGTGGCTACCCCTAGGACTTTTCTAGACTTATTTACTGCTGCATTGTGAGTGTGTGGCTACCCCTAGGACTTTTCTAGACTTTATTACTGGTGCATTTTTTTTTTGTGTGGCTACCCCTAGGACTTTTCTAGACTTATTTTCTGGTGCATTTTTTTGTGTGTAGCTACCCCTAGGACTTTTCTAGACTTATTTTCTGGTGCATTTTTTTGTGTGTGGCTACCCCTAGGACTTTTCTAGACTTATTTACTGGTGCATTTGTGTGTGTGTGGCTACCCCTAGGACTTTCCTAGACCTATTTACTGGTGCATTTTTTGTGTGTGGCTACCCCCAGGACTTTTCTAGACTTAATTACTTGTGCATTTTTTTTTATCTAGACTTATTTACTGGTGCATTTGTGTGTGTGGCTACCCCTAGGACTTTCCTAGACCTATTTACTGGTGCATTTTTTGTGTGTGGCTACCCCCAGGACTTTTCTAGACTTAATTACTGGTGCATTTTTTTTTGTGTGTGGCTACCCCTAGGACTTTTCTAGACTTATTTTCTGGTGCATTTTTTGTGTGTGTGGCTACCCCTAGGACTTTTCTAGACTTATTTTCTGGTGCATTTTTTGTGTGTGGCACCACCCTAAGACTTGGCTAGTCAAAGATTCTTGTGCATTTTTGTGTGGCTAAACCATTGTATTTTTCTAGACTTATTTACTTGTGCATTTTTTGTGTTTTGGCTAAACCCTAGGACTTTAGATGCATGAGAGATTTTATATCAACCAAATGTTTTTGTTGAGTAAAATTGAGTAAATTATTGAAAAGATTGAAAGTAGAAGACTACATTTTAAGCGCATGTCTATGCTTCTTAATTCAGATCATCACAATAGAATCTGGTTTAACTATCAAACATTTCTATCTAGCAATGTCCGGGGACCCAGTTAGGCTTAGGTTTCAGCAGTGAATGAATTACATTTGTCGTCAGTAGCCTGTATGCATCTTTGTGACTTCTTGTAGTTACTTTATTGAAGCAAAGTGGTTGTCCTTTGTCTTTTATAATTGAGGTTTGTAATCATGCGAAAAAAAGGGAAAGCTGACATAAATAAGATGATTAAGGATGAAAGATTAAATTTTAAAATAATTGTCTGATTATAAATAGGATTATTATATCTAAATTTATAATGGATAGTTATTTTTCTTTAACAAATGAAAAAAATATAGAAGCATAATCCAATACACAGCAATCCATTCAGAAGGGAACTCAAAATATAATATTCAAGTGCATTTGAGCAATAGAAAGAAATTGATTTCTTTTTTCATACAAGATTCATGTTTTACAAAAATGATTACACTCATTAAAAAAAAAAAAATTATTAGTGAAAATAATTAGTAAAATTTGATCAAGATTATGGCAAATGATTCAATAGCAGATTTGAAAATAGCAAAATATCAAGGTGTTCCTTTTTAAAAAAAAAAAAACAAACAAAGAAAGTAGTCAGGAATACGAAAGGTAGATCTGATGAATAGATATCAATATGCAATCAATCACCTAGATAGAACTACGTCAGGATACGGTTTGTGGGGGATCAAAGGGAGCTAACAACTAGTCAGGATGCGATTGTGTGTTCAAAGGGAGTTAACATAAAAAAAATTGCTGCATTTTTTAGCCGCACAGAATTTGGTCATTGAATTTTTTTTAAAATTAAAAATGTTTTTTTAAAAGTAAAAATTTGTGTTGAAAAGATAACTTTAGTTAACAATTAATTAGAAATGAGTCCAATGAGTTAACAATGTTAACAACGCCAGTTTGTAGCTTGAAACAAAAAAGGGCATGCACTAAAGCTTTCTGTACATCCAAAGGTCAAATGTTCGGGCTGGCATCCTTCACCTTCACCTTCAATGCCTAGTTTGTTTCAGACGTACTCATCCTTTCAATCAAAGAAGTAGAATTTGTTTCCGTTATATTATGTCAAATGCTTACAATGTCGATTCTTCCTTCAGTACATTGAAATTTCGGACTGTTACGGGAAGAATGATTAAGATTAAGCTCGGCAGGTTAATTTGATATAATCTTTAGAGTAATCACTTTAATCTGTTACATTAGGTTTTTATTTAATTCACTGATATCTCCTGTCAAATTTCCATGATTTCTAGTTTATTAATTGAATCTCCAAATTTAAATCTTGTTAATTCTGTATTTTTTATTTTTAAAAAATTAAAAATAACACGTTCTTCATAATCGAAGGTCCTTGACCTCTTGCCTTATGTGAATTTAACCAACATCTACATGATCATTCTCTACCAACCGTTGCATTCATGATAACACCGGTTGTACACAATACCTCAAACACCATTCACTACATCACCTAATTACAGTGTGAACATTATTGAATCTCAAACACTTAAAAAAAGGTTTTGGAAGGGGGGGGGGGATGGTGAGCAGCTATTTTCTAGTCTAGCTATACACTGAGGAAATGAGCAATATTCAATACTGGCACGGCAAAACACACACAGACGCTACGTCATACGGTGTGTAACAATGTCTAGATTAAAAGAATGGCACGCAGACAGTACGTCACAAGCTGTGTGAATAATGTCTAGGCTAAAACGGAAAACAAGACAAGGCAAGGTCAAACAAAGTTCTCGTTGCTATGGCAACCTAAACGTGAGCGGTGACGGTAGGCAAGAGAAAAGCAGAGTTGTCTGAACTTACACCGGAGATGGCTCCTCTGCAGCTGGAGTGGGGGCTGGGGTCTCTTCTCTGGACAAGGGGGGTTAATTGTTAGAAGAGTTAAATGTTTGATTAGTCGGGGTATTTTTTAGTCGCTTGATTGTTAGGGCTATTTTTAGTCATGTGAGTGGTGGCGGTATATAGATATGTAGATATATATATATATATATAGAGATATGTGTAAATATATAGAAATGTAGATTTACAGATGTTTAGATAATATATAGATGTGTAGATATATAGATGTGTAAATATATAGAAATGTAGATATATAGAAGTGTAGATATATAGATATGTAGATGTTTAGATATGTGTAGGTCGGAGATACACACATACTTCAGCAGCATCAGCATCAGCAAGTCCCCTTGGGTTAAGTCACTCTTTAAAAAACAACATGCGTCTTTGTAGCCAATCCTTCACAGGCATGAACCACGGGGGGTGGGGAGGGGGGTGTCAAAGTTTTTACTTCCACCCTGGGGAAATATGTCGGACCTCGGACACTCTCGGGTCTAACTGTATGATGTTTCAGCGAGAAATATGTGAATATTAATTCTGATAATCAAAAGATTCCCAAGGGAGATAACTAGCGGCTAAATTTGCTGGTTGGATAAATTTGTAGCCCGAATCTGAGTATTTCTCAAGTGAATTCATTGTACTCGGGTGTCATTTATGGTACCGGTACTATTTAAGATCATTACATTAATGTATGTTGAATATGTGTGACGTCATTTAATATCTTGGACATTAACTTTTAGAAACGTTCATCGGGATTCCTCGGTCAGGAAGGGCAGAGGTCAGGAAGGTCATCCAGCACTCCGGTGGTGCCTCCACGTCCCAGTGAGTAAATGTAGGTCGCGTGTAGGCGTACATGTCTGTGTGAGCGAGAGACCAGCTGAGCTATTTTAAGAAAGTTTAGAATCTTGCGTCGTCTCAAAAACATAAACAAATCCACGGTCACATACCCCTCCCCTCCCCTGGGGTTTGCTATTAGATTCCGTTCCAACATTCCACTAACGAGAAGACGATAAACAATGTTCATGAAGCAGACGCTGATATCACATCACCCCTGTAATGCATCACTGACTTCAACAAATTTATGTCCTGATAGACCGACATAATACCTACCTGATAGACCAACGAATGTCTCACTTGAATGACAGGGGTAGATGGTGCTTGGGAGAGGGAGGTCAAGCTTTTCACCGATTGTTGTTTTTAAATGTGTACGTTTCTGTAATTGCTAACTTTTTATGTGAGTCCAGCCCTAGGCTGGGGTACTGCAGTGAGCCTAGCCCTAGGCTGGGGTACTGCAGTGAGCCTAGCCCTAGGCTGGGGTACTGCAGTGAGCCTAGCCCTAGGCTGGGGTACTGCAGTGAGTCTAGCCCTAGGCTGGGGTACTGCAGTGAGCCTAGCCCTAGGCTGGGGTACTGCAGTGAGCCTAGCCCTAGGCTGGGGTACCGCGCTATATAAAGCATGCTTAAAATTAAAAACTAATGATCATAATGACCATCTGTAAACAGCAGGTCCGTCATTCATCTGCTCTCATTGTTTAGTTAGCTGAATTTCGCCATGTAGTATAGACCTACACGTTTTTCTTTCGTCTAGTGCAATTTCGTTTTCAAATTTAAAAAAAAAAAAATATTTAAACAAAAAAAAAATTCTCTTTTAATGATAACATTAATTTAAATTTTAATTAAACTTTCCAAAGAAGGATAAACTTTTTTTTCCTGTGGGGGGGTGGTTGGGGGGTGAAAAAAAAAAAATATTTAAACAAATAAAAAATTTTCTTTTAATGATAACATTAATTTATATTTTAATTAAACTTTCAAAAGAAGGATAAACTTTTTTTTCCTGGGGGGGGGTGGTTGGGGGGTGGTATTGTTAAGAATATCACCCTCTCTGTAATGTTATCATCTGATTCAGTCTGGTCACGTGGGAAAGGTCATACATTGATTGTAAAGTGCTGAACAATTTTTTAGTCATTATGAAATTTAACGAAAGATTTGTGTTATGATACAGTCCTACCAATAGAAAGCTATGAAGAATTGTGCTGTGATACAGATGCGACCAATAGAAAGCTATGAAGAATTGTGCTGTGATACAGATGCGACCAATAGAAAGCTATGAAGAATTGTGTTATGATACAGATGCGACCAATAGAAAGCTATGAAGAATTGTGTTATGATACTTTTGCGACCAATAGAAAGATATGAAGAATTGTGTTATGATACAGATGCGACCAATAGAAAGCTATGAAGAATTGTGTTATGATAAACAGCGTTGTTAGAATTCGCAATAATTTAGTAGGTCAAACGCTTATTTTATTGTTTGCGTGTTAAACCCGTTATGTGTAAGCAATGGAGCATTTGAAAAAAAAAATTATAGATTTGTTATATATAAGTAATCGAGTATTTGAAAATAAATAGATTTGTTACGTGTAAGTAATCGAGTATTTGAAAATAAATAGATTTGTTACTTATAAGTAATCGAGTATTTGAAAATAATAGATGTGTTATGTATAAGTAATCGAGTGTTTGAGAATATTAGACTTGTTATGCATGAGTAGTCGAGTATTTTAAACAAGAATAAATATTTGTTAACTTACTCTTCCCCGCCTGCCTCTCTGAAATAAACAAATATAAATTGTTTATTAGTTTGGGGCATATATTGTTTTCACAGCAATTACACCTATCAGTTTACATCTTGAATAAATAATCTAATTCTGACACCTAGTTTATCTAAAAAAAAAAAAAAATATTTAAAAAACAAATAAATATGTAATGTATACGATTTATAGTCACTGACTTAATTTGGAAAAGCAAAATACATGTTTTGTTTTTAAAAATAATCTAATGCATTTTAAAATAGTGTTTGTAAATATGACTAAGATGTGTTACTTGACTAAGAAATGTTACATAACTAAGATGTGTTCTATGACTAGACATATTAGAATACTAAGCTGTGTTACATGACTAGGATATGTTCCACGACTAAGATGTGTGACATGACTAGGGTGTGTTACTTCATACTTACACGGCCTGTTCATCGTCAGACATTGCGGTAAGCTAAGTAATCCCACGTAACGCCTTACCAGTACCTCAGACAACCTGCAAGTCATACAAATACAAATAATATCATTTTTTTTAAAAATCAATAGAAATCATTTGATCAAGGCTTTAAGCTGCCGTCTTTTAAATTGCACTTCTTCTGCCCAAAAAGATTCACTTGCTTTGAGGGCTACCCCATGTAGCAAACAATCACGGGTTATTGAATGCTACCCCATGTAGCAAACAATCACTAGCTATTAAGGGCTACCTCGTGTAGCAAACAATCAAAGGTTATTGAGGGCTACACCAGGTAGCAAACAATCACAGGTTATTTATGGCTACCCCATCCAGCAAACAATCACGGGTCACCTATATAAATGAACGACAGGAATGAGGATTGTTTTGTAGCCCTGCTGTAAGCATATTTAGTTTGAGGATTTTAGCGCCGTAGACACATTCCGCCAACAAACGACCCTATTTTTAGGCAATTTAAATTTTTTCAAAAAATTATTTCAGTATCATTGTTGTGTACTGTGTTCAAATTTTCTTTCTCTTGAAAGAAAGGCAGAAAGAGAGAAAGACAGAAAGAGAGACATAAAGAAAGACAGAAAGAAAGAAAGACAGAAAGAGAGACATAAAGAAAGACAGAAAGAAAGAAAGACAGAAAGAGAGACATAAAGAAAGACAGAAAGAAAGATAGAAAAACTGAAAGAAAGAACGAAAGAAAGAAAGAAAGAAAGAAAGACAGAAAGGCAGAAAGACATAAAGAAAGAACGAAAGAAAGAAAGAAAGTCTAAGAAGGGATTGTTAAAGGGGATGATTGTTTATTCTAAAAAAAACGAAGCCTTGGGGAAACAGAACAATCTTGCAAATGTTTATTGAGATTGAGTGTTTCGTAAGAGTAAGGCACCCCAACTTGTATTGATAATGTATGCACACATGTACACAGTGTTATCCCGATTTACTGCGCGGTCATCCATATTTTTTTTAAATACAATTTTTGATGACGTCATCCAACCTATTATATGGCACATCTTGACCTCCTTACTCTCTTCTCTGCGTTATCCGAAACATGTGACCTCTTGTATTTTAATGTGAAATATTCCAGAGAAAGTAAATCATGTAGAGATATATTCATAAAGAAACCATTGTAGATATTAATAGATTGATGGTTCAGTGGATCTTTTTTTAAACAAAAAATTGTTATCGCTTTTCTGTCAGAAATAAGGGCGATCCAAATTATTTAGAATCTATGATTGGCCCCATTTGTTTAGTGTGTGGCTTTTAAACCTCTGGTTATCTTTGGGACTATTTAATATTACGTATAAATTTGATTTCTGTGGCAACCTCTCCGAAGGATTTTACAATTATTTTAGTCTTCAAGTGTTCCCCGAAGGTAAACCAGCGCAAGATGTACGCAGACTTTCCCCGTCATGTGTTCTGTTCACGCGGCATCACGCTGGTAGATGTAGCTCACACAGTGTGACCGTGCCAAGGTGCTCACTAGGAAATCACGGCCGGAATGTCAAACATAAGCAGTTTTGCCTCAGCCTGGCAACCCCCCCCCCCCCCCCCCCCCCCACACCCACCCCCACGACCCTCCCCTCTTTTTTTTTTTCCCCCAGTGCTCACTAGGAAACCACGGCCGGAATGTCAAACATAAGCAGTTTTGCCTCAGCCTGGCAACCCCCCCCCCCTCCCACCACCACCACACCTCACCCCAAGACCCTTCTCATCTTTTTTTTTCCCCCATCCTTAGTTTTCCGTGTTTCGTTTTCTGTACATTTCGGTGGGGCTCAGGGGCTAATTTTAGCACAAGCCAGGGATAGCGTGTAACACGCCAGGTAGAGTGGAGCCACAGAGCGTGTAACACGCCCAGGTAAAGTGAGCCACAGGTAACATTTTCTGGCTATGACTAGAGCTAAGGAGTGCTCCAAGTTTTACAGGATAGTGTAGAAGGGGAGAGAACTGACAGGAAAGGGGGGT